ACAGTTTTAATGTATTGCCTCACATCCATGTCTATTCTGTCAACGATGCAATAACATCCGATTTTCCTATATCATCAAGGTTAGTCAAATATTTGCTGATTACAGTAAAGTATATTTATGGTGTTTTTTGCTGTCATAAAGTGGAGTGTGGCCATTTAACAAAATAATAATTAGACAATCATAAATTGTCACTAGTAATTTGAAACAGACAGAAGAATGGATCGCCTTCAGTAATATGCCTATTAATATCCATGGCCATTAACACCAACTGAAGAAAATGCATTTCTGTTGGGTGTTGATGACCGTGGTGATGAGAATTGCATTAATAAGCAAAATAATTATTAAAACCTACCAGTTTTGTTTTCAGAAGAAATATTAGAAAATACCACTGCATATAAGTTTAAGCAGTGGTCGAGCTGTAGTTTGGAAATTAAGATGCATGGCACGGTATACCGTACTGAGTACAAATGATGGGGAACATTTTGTTTTTAATTTTGTTTATAGAACATTACTTGATATTGAATGTAAAAGAAATGAAAATAATAACTTTAGACTTACTGCTACGTCTGTTTTATATCAGAACATAGGGGTTTCCGCATTACATGAGAACTGTTGTAAACTTAGTCAAAGTAAAAAAGGGAGAAAATTGTACATTATAAACGCATTATCAAAATGATTATCCCACGAGTTCACGTGAATTGTCGTGTATAATATAATTACGGTTCCCTGGATAAGCCCCACTCCCAGGCCTTCATATAGGCCTACGTCACTTGTTTTCTCCTGTGAATCGTATGGAATGCGTAGATGTAATAAAATAAGAAACAATAGGAAATCTGACCAATTATAATGTCTACGTCATGATGTTAGCCCCAGAGGACTTATTTGTGTCCAATGCTCACCACTAAGACAATAACGTAGGCCCGTGTTTTTAATTTTTCAATAATACCTTTTTTAATGATCACCTTAATTTACATCACTCAACCATTTAATAGCTCAATTTATTTGTACTATACTTTTAGTAGATTTTAACTCAATTAATTTTAAACACTTTCAAAACTATCTTAAAATTAGGATATTTTAAATGTTTTATTCTTTTTTTACGGCTAATAGGCCTATGTAAACTTAATTCAATTATATATATATATATACATATATATATAGAACTGGAGGTCGCTGGAACAGAATGTTGCTACTCGGAGTTTCACGCTATTGCGATCGTCAGGCAACTGATGAAAGGTGAACGTTGTGGGGTGATGTGACTGCTTGTGCGGACGTAGTATGAAGTTAGGTTATTGCGGACGTCGGAGTTGCTGTTCGGAGGTAGTGCTTGTTTTCGTGGCGGCATTTCGATACAAGTTCTGACCTTCTGTTTCGTCTTCGAATGATTTCATTTCGGTGATTTGTGGAGGGCATCGTTTGCTTTTAAGTCCGTAGTTGTCTTTAGTGTTGTCGGTGTCGTCGTAGTCGGAGTCGTTGCTGCGTCCGTTTAGTGAGAAAAATGCTTTCCATCTCATGCGTTTAAGAAGGCTTTCCACTTTTTCGACTTCATCGTCATTATCATCATTACTATCATCATAATGACGGCTGATCTAAAACATACACATAGAAAAAACAGTAAAAAGTCAATATGTAAAATCTATTTTTATGTATATTTTGTTGTCTACTTAAGCATCAGATGGAAATATACCCTTTACAAATGTGCCAAGTTAATAAATATTCTAAGGTGGGAGAGAATTCCATTTAGGAACAACTCTATTACAAATAGATTTTTGAACATCAGTGCGTGAGCGCTGTATTAAGTAGCTGTCTGGAAACAAATATCAATATAAATTCAATATATTTTTTTCCATTTTTCGATATGTTATTAAGTAAAGCGAGACAGACAATTTTAATAAGAAAAATTGTCATCGTAATATCTACAAATCATTTGTAGCCCGTCTACAATGTTTTAAAGTTAGGTCTAGGGACTGTTTGTTAACTAAACCGGAACCAATACAGGCCTAAAAAGTACTAGTAGGCCTATGGAGTATTGGACACTGAGCAAGACACTGAGAGTCCTGAAGTTTTTAAACTGTTATTTTATTCCTCCCATACCAATGGTACGCTGTGATATACTGTTTGTTGTTAAATATACTGATTGTTTCTAATTATCGCGAAATGCTGTAGTATGCATTGCATTTTATTTGCCAGCTCTTCTAACCGTTGATTTTTAATAACTGTTGGACGAAATTTGTTGGAAAGTGATCAGCTTTAGTGATTGCAGATTGATCCATAATATGAACAATGTTACTTCTTCAGGTCCCTAACATCCAAATGAATGAAAATTCACGAATTACGGCTTTCAGAAATCCATTATACAAGGTCCTTATATGCCAATTTGCCAAACAGCTTTAGGGAGCTACCTCCACCCAGCACCACCAGAGCTCTTCCCTGGTCCCCACCCGGGAGTGCTAGCCTGAGGCTAGCTTCGCTCACAAAAAACACAACCCCCTTCCATCCCCCCGCCCTTACAGTAGTTCCTCCTTTCCAATCTGTTCAACTTTCGACAGTGCCCTTACTCGCCTCTCCAAACTACCAATGAAAGAATACGATCAGTTTGGCAAGAGCAAAGCTTAGGGGAACGGGAAACTATTTTTCCCCAATTAACAGACATTTAAATCATACCAATGCTTAGTCTTTCCAATTACGTTTTAAAATTCTGGCAGAAATTTCAAGTTTTGTATAAACGGCCGACTCTAATTATTGAAACAAACTGTATTATTATTATTATTTATTTATTTTTATCTTCGACCTGTTATTTAATGGTAGTGTATTGTTTATATAATAGATGAATAACGAATTTTGAAAATTGCCGGCCTTACCCACTTCAATGCAATAGGTCTAATATACAAATCAGTATACATTCGTATTATTTAACAACTTTTAAAGATATATACACACACACATATAATATGTGTTATATGTATGGTAATATAGATACACGTTTGCCTACTGTACAGAGTCAAAAACACATTATAAAGCATGGACAGTACATACATATACAGTAGAAGTGGTTGGCGCATCGGTTGTGGCTTGGACTCCCAACCTCGAGGTCGGGGGTTCGAAACTCTCGCTGTGCAAATCGCTTGTGCCCTTGGGCAAGACACTTTATCTACGGTTGCCCCTCTCCACCCAGGAGTACAAGTGGGTACAGGTCGAAGATAAAAATAAATAAATAATAATAATAATAATACAGGAGTACAAGTGGGTACCTGGTAGGTTCTAACACTGCGCTGATTACTAGCCGCAATATTATGGAGATATAATTTAATTTAATAATTTCATTTAGTGTTTAATGTGATCCATATGTGTTTGATCCAATGACCGGGGTAATAATGTGAAGCGCTTAGAGGCTTTGTTAAGGCATTAAGCGCTATATAAGAACGACATATTATTATTATTATTATATAGGTCAATATTTGAGCAAATTTCCATTTTGGCCTACCGTAATCTGCATTATATTCAATGCACAGAATTTATATTTAATGTATTGTATTTTGATTGTACTTGGAGGGCCATGTAATGAGCTCACTAGAGAGTAGCATACAATAAACGTCCTTTCCCTTGCTTCAGCCTTTTAGTCCATCTATTCTTGACCACTTCAATCCACGCATCTTTTGTCTACTCCTCTTACTAAATCAAGTCTCTACCGCTAGTTTCATAAACAGTACAATAGTCACGTTTATAGTAATTGATGTGTATTCTCCTACCGTATTTATTCAAATAAACGCCCCAATTTGAATAAACACCTTCATTTGGAGAAACGCCTCCCTCGCCAGAGCGTTCATTTTTTCCACAAAATGGAAGCAACATCATTCCCAACACATTCTATTAATGTTCTACTCCAGTAGAATTACATTTTTTTTTAACCTGGTTAGGATCAATAAGTCTTGAGTAAATACGTATCCATTTTACATATAAAAAAATAAATAAAATAATAATAATAATAATAAATAATAAAAAAAAACGCTTCCTTCGAATAAACGTCCCCTCAAAAATCCTTCTCAACAATAAACGAACAGGGCGTTTATTCGAATAAATACGGCCTGTATATAAATAATTATTATATAAAAAATCCTGTGGCAGTCACCTTCGATAAATGATACTGATTTACATTGCAATAATAATATTAGAGTATCAGTGTCGACTTTGAATATTACACTTTTAATATGGATGGATATCAATTAGATAACCATATGGCATGAGCAAGATTTAAACGGGTCTAATTCGGTGACCAGTGATTTAAATGTTAAAATGTGTCAGCATCGTGGCTAGAGACGCTATAGTCCAAGAGTAATCTTCGTAAACATCTAACGAAAAACAAATCTGATTTAATAAACGAATTAATTAATGTATCTGCGATCAAAGAAACTAAAGCCTGGTTTCGACCGACCAATCAGCGTCGCCAAAGGAGTCGGCGATAGTTTGTAGCGACTTTTAAGGCCTGTTTATACTTCAACGATAACGTTTAAAAAAGCTAAAAAGCTATTGTTAATATAGAAAACAAAAGAAATAAGTGAAGTTTTTACACCAGGACGATTCGATAAAGATTTATCGTGTATACGATAACAAAATATTTTAACAAATCAAATCAGATGACGTCATAATCATGGAAAAATAAAATCGTTGCTACTATACTACGTTTTTTCATGATTATGACGTCATCTGATCTGATTTGTCAAAATATGTTATCGCATAACTGATAAATCGTTATCGAATCGTTCTAGTGTAGAAAATTCTCTTATTTCTTTCATTTTCTATATGAACAATTGCTTTTTAGCTTTTTCATCGTTATTGTTGAAGTATAAATAGGCCTTTATGGAAACCAGGCCTGGTTTCCATACAATCGCTACATCCTATCGCCGACTGTTTTTATTGCACTGAAAAACACTCTAGCGATAATGTAGCGATTTTACGGAAACCAACCAGGCATTCTGCGGTCAAAGAAACTAATATAATTGTTTGCGTTTTCTGAACAAGCAATTTAATAATACAAAATAATTATTATGTTGTCACTTTAAATATATGGAACTACAGGAATGATACAATTAGTATCTAATTGACGTACACCAAATAGATGGTTCTGAAAACTTTGTATAGTAATGATAAAGCTAAGTAATCCATATTCCAGGTTTACTAAACTCAAATCCAACAAAAAATTTGGATTTATATAATGACGCCACAAGATTCAAATTTACAAGTACTGTATGTTGTATATTAAAATGTCATTAACTGTAAAAACATCACACTGGTGACTGTTGTAATTATTCCAAAACCGAAACGATTGTTAAAGGAAATTTACGATCTGTGTAACGTTAATTACACAAAACACTGTCAACATTGAGTTAGCAGCAAGTGTTTTAAGATCGTACTGCATTATGTGACGATTTGACTTTCAAAATTGTGTGCCAATAAAAGTCAGATAGAATTTTCAATAGACACGTCATTAAGTAAATGGACCTAGTTTTGGCAAACAGAGACGATATTGTCAGGCATTATCTTCATTGATGTAATGTTAGGAGCAAAAATCGTATCTTATATGTGTTTTCTTTCTAACCATTGACAAAGTTGCTCTCAACAGCTGAACATTAGCAAAACATTTCAAGGTTCGTGTATGACGTATGTGCCTTTGTCACATGCTACATCATAGTCGATACATTATAGAGAAAAACGTATGCCCTCATCGGGATTCGAACCCTTGACCTTCCGATATCCGTTAGGATACTTTACCAAAGTTACTTCGTGGTCGCCAATTTATGATGCTGACAACACTCATGATGAATGAGATTCCAAAAACAATATGACGTCACTTTTCAGAATTGATGAAGTCAAATATGTGATAATTATAGTTATACTTATATTCTAATTAAGTTTAGGAATTTCCCCCCCCCCCTAAATTAAGTACATCATAAAAACCATTCCACAGAATTCTGAATTTCATCTTTTCTATTAACACTATTATTGCCAATCATCATCATCATCATAAAATCATATTATTGATTAACACCAGCATCATCATAGTTATCACCATCATCATTCAATCATATCTATTTACACTATCATCATGTACATCAGCATTATCATCAACATCATCATCATCATTCAATCATATTTTTCAACACCATCTTTATTAACACCATCATCATCATCCAATCATATTTATCAACACCATCGTTTAAACACCATCATTGTCATCATTATCATCACCATCATCAAATTCTTTTTATTTCATTTTCTTTTTCTTTTTAATTCACTATCTTTATTAACATCATCATGAAATTGAGATAAACATCACTATCCTCATTATGATTATATCGGTTTGATAAAAGTAGTTGTGTAGCCATGTTAGTCTAAACAATAATAACAGGTTATAAAGAGTCAGCACTCACAGACCAACTAAATTTAGTATCGATGTGCAACCTCTTTATTACCTGTTATTTTCATATATACGAATTGCTTATCTACAGTCTCATAATGATCTAATTTTGGAATGATGTGTCTTTTAAACATATACAACATGTAATCAAGTTTTGGCATGGAATAAATACTCAGTGATCGAATACCGTGCATCTCCAAAACATTATTGTGTCAAAGGTTTCAGTTGGGAACAATTCTAGAACAGAAATGAAGCCAGACACTGTTATCTTACATGCCTAATAACATTTTCTTGTGCTCAATCTTCAGATTTATAATTCATATAATATATACAAAACAAACTACTTTGTTACAATGAAGAGAGGAACTAAGTAAATTATGTCTGTGAGTAACGAGCTTTCTCATTGGCTAATGCCAGTCTCCTGATGTTTCTAATACATCCGGCTGCGGCCACTTGAAGTGCTTGGTCATCAGCACCTACCATGCCAACCAAGAGCTGAAATGAGAAAAGAAAAAGTTATTGATGAGAATGTAGATAATTGAGCCTAATCAAAAGCAATATTGTAGCAGATTACCACATAATTCAAGCATGACTCTTGTTTAACGATATTAAGCAACTGGATAATTACAATCAAAATTAAAGATTGTATATAGTTCTAGTTGCATTTTCACCCTATTACATACTGTGCAGTTACAGTTCAGGTTAGCATTATTAAAATCAATTAATGTTTACATCTAAATATAAAATATAAAGTAGACGTTTTTCCCTAAGAAATTTCAAATTTTTCATATTTTACAAGCCAATATGTTATTTTATTTCAATTATAAATTAAATCAGGCAACAGGTTTGTCAAACAAGGGATATAAATTCTAGCCCAAAATTGAGTTTTTTAACTATTTTCATATGCAATTTTATTGGTCTTGATATGGAACCATTAAAAAATATATTAGATATTAAACAGAATGTTTTAAATGAATGGAACCTGTCAGTTAATCAAGCTGAAAATGAGTTTGCACAATATGAGAAACCAAATCATAATATTGGAAAGTTCATAAAAACCTTGGTTCTTTAACTGATAGCTCTAAAAAACAGAACCATTCTTGCAAATATCACATTTGCAGAAATTGACAAAAGTACAGACTGATTGCAGTATTACATTAGAACATTAACTTAATATTTATGAAGCACAGTTGGTATCAATGCTTTTATAGCATCTAGGCAGGCCCTAAAAACATGTTCAAGCAAGAAAGGAGATGTCATTGTCAACATTTGAGAGCTATTTTGAATATAAAAAAACCCCAAAATAATAAAAAATTAACCTTTATATTCAGTTACAAAATCAAATCAATTGACAAATCGCATTGACAAATGAAGATGGTCAACGCTTGGGCACATTTTACGGAGTGATGAACTCACTCAGACTGCACATTGTGTACTTGTGTTTGCTGTCAATCAATCAATAAACTTAAAAGGCCGAAAAAGAAGACAGTGTCAATTTATTCTCAAAAATTAAATCTGATTTAACAGAAAAAGGGCATGAATTTGAAAATATTGTGGATTTTTATACACTTGAAGACAGCTAGAAACAAAATTCAATGGAAGGGAATGTTTGAAAAATTATTTTTGTTGTGTAAAACGTGGCAGTGACTTATACAAAGTTTAATAATATAAAAGTAATTTGAGATAAAAATATATATGAATAATACATATAACTAAGTATATTATATAAAAATATATACATTTTGTGACATAAAAATGCAAAAGTTATACAAAGCATCTGTTTTCAAAGAGTTAGGTGTAAGTTAATCCTGGTGTACTTATCTAAAGACAGACATTTTTATATGTAAACTTCATAATGTTCCTAAAATGTATTAATATATAATAATATGATCATATATTTAAGCATTTGACAATCATTACCTTTACTACTCCACTTTCATGCATAGTGATACAGTTATCAGGGTCACGTGACAATTGAAAAAGAGCTTCAGCTGTGGCCCGATGCACTGAGCTTTCTGGTGACTTCAGGTAACGGACAAGCGGTGCAACAGCACCGTTTAAACCAAACGCCACGCGATTGTTGCCCCACATACAGCAACGGGCAATAGCGTCTGCCAGATGTCGGCGCAACCTGTCATCGGTCTGGTGGGAAAACAAGTTTTAGAATGTTTAATTTCAGAATGTTAAATGCAAGTTTTGAATAACAAGATATTTATGACGACAGTTCACATTCACTGTAAAAGAATACTGAAGGTATGGCCTTGCACTGATTCTCATAACGTTGGTAAACATGAATAATTCCCAACAGTCCAATGAAAATGATTGTATACTGTATCAAGTATCTCCAAGAATTTTGAATGTCTGGTATTTCCTTGGAAGTTCCCGCATTTTATGATTGATATCACTGTAGGCGATGATATATTATTAAGAAAACGTAATGGTAATTTCATTATTTAATTGGTATGATCTATTATAAGCAATGATATTAGCACGGAGGACTATTTTCACCTCCATCTTATCATGAACACATTCAATACAGGTAGGTGTATAAATCATTCATATTATTTCAAGAAATTGTATTAACACTGAATTTAAAATTTAATACACAATTATTAAATAATGGATGTAAACTTCCTGCTACAATAATGAAACCAGATGAAATTATTTAAAATGGGGCATGTTATAGGCCTACATATAGTTTTGTTTTTAAACTCGATGTATACAGAACGAGTGCTATATTGTAATTAGTATTATTAATTATAATAACAATAACAATAATGATAACAATATAAATAATTGATGATTTAATTATATAGAGGTTACGATGTTTCAGAGGTGTATTTCAACTGTTAGTGTTTGTCATTCCCATCAATGGCAGTGTCCTTAATTATTGTTTTCATAGTTTTTTGAAAACAGAATTCCAAAAAATTGAAAACAAATTAATAAAAATAATAATAACTTACAGTGCTGGCCAACTTGGCTAGCATAGGCACCACCCCATGGTCTGTAATTACAGCCAGGTTTTCCTCATCTATAGCAATCTTTGCAATAGCGGCACATACACTTGCTAATACTTCCTTATTATCACTCTTTAATAAGCTTACAATGAGTTCTAGACCACCAACAAAGGAGCGAACCATCTCACCAGCATCCTACGAAAAAAAACAAAAAAACACTATTATCTATACATTTTTATAGGAAGTTGTATATTTTAAGTCCTGCTTATAGAATAAAACTTTTATTAATCTAACTATAGTATACCCGATCACTTTGATTAAATAAAAGAAGGTCCGCCGCGAAGAGCATGTAAAACATTTTCTTTGGTAACATTACTCAAGCTGTGGTAAGTTTTACCAAGCCCAGGAGAGCTATGGTTGTATTTCTAAGAGAAGAAACATCCCAGAGATAATATAAATGCGGTCACGCATTTGAATAGCCATTAGTGCGAAACAGATAGTTTTAGCCACAAATTTAAAGTGCGAACTGCAGTACAATTTAGCCGAGGTCAAGTTACTCTACGACTTGATCAAACTTAATCTGATGCAAACACGTGTAAATATCATACAATACTCTTTGTCAGAAGGTTTCATAGGAAACTTTTGAAATTGGACTGAAATGTTTTCTTCTGGAGCCTGGCTTTAAAGTTACAGCAGGGCAGGGGCGGATTTAGTGGGGGGCCGGCCCGGCTCCGGCCCCCCCTTTTGGGAGGTGAAAAAAAGAAAAAAAAAGAAAAAAAGAGAGAAAAAGAAAAAAATGATAGCCCAGAATGCCTCAAATGTTATATTCGGGCGTCTAGAACACAAAAATTTCGCGGGGGCATGCCCCGGACCCCCTACGACAGTGTTGTCTCAATCGGCCCAACTTTCGGCCCCCACTTTTGGACATTTCTGGATCCGCCCCTGAGGGGTGGCACTAGTGGGGGAGAGGGCAGGGCCTCTCCTCAGGGAGAGCTTCCGCCCCCCCCCTCCCCCGTGGGAGAAAAACAACAATTTGTTGAGGAGAAAAATAAATTACAGTATATGTATTTTCTACATATTAGTAGACTCTAAAATCAATTAAACAAGCCTTTCAAAATTTTCAAAGGCTTTGCCCCATGGACCACTTTCGAAATAATTTGAGTGACACCCAACCATGACCACTTTGCTTTCGTTAAGGGCATTGGACCCCCTGTCAGGAACATTCAACCCACCATTGTGCAAATCCTGGTGCCACCACTGAGTTACAGATCAAAAAGTTACACTGGGTTGCTCAAAATTAATGTAACATTAGTAACCACGTTATTACCCAAAAATATGAGTCCTTTGAAAACTTAAGTACAGGAATGAAGCCAGAATTCTGTGATTTGGAAAGAGAGCATCCTAAATATCAATCTAAAATTCAAATTCAGCTTTTAAAAGCAAACAAAATATCCACCTAATTTATAACATAATGTTATCAACTGTAGCACAAAAAATGTGTCAGTGAAAATAAAGTAAAATATAAATGTTTACTCCACTGAATCGTACCGGCAATACAGAATTGAAAATTGATTTCAAATTTTAGAAGCAAGTTTCACATAATGCCTATGTCACCCCAGGGAATGTGGAGATAATTAGATTGCTATTAACAAACTAGTGTATATCTATCCAAATATGTTTATCACGTACACAAACCTGTTTTCAGTATGAGACGATTGTTATCAATCTCAAGATACTGTAATTATTTATGAGGTACAACAGGAAAAAAAAATCAACTTTTTGTTTCAATGAAAAAAATCATACAATATCCAGAGTGATTTAAGAAATAATATCAAATATGACATTAACAGGCAATCAATATTCATCAATATTAAATGTGGTATACAACTATCTTTATGTCATATAAAAAAAATATGAGGCTACGAAAATCATTATGTGTATGTGGCATATAGAAATTATCATTTTTATGATACTACAAAAAACATCAGTTCTATTTGACATACAAAAATCTGTCATCCTTTTAATGAGGCAACAAAAAAATCATTATCTAAATACAAATTTCATCATCTTTGTGAGGTTAAAAAATCATTGTTTTTATATGAGGTACAAAAAACACATCTATTCCTAAGGGAAATCTAAAAATCATTATTCCAATGTGACAAAAAATATCATAAAAATAAACCTACACTTTAGGGTTCTAAAAATAAATTGTTTAAATGTCATAAGGTAAAAATCGTCTGCATAAGTATTGTATATTTGTTTATTTTTAAAATGTACTGTTCCTGAAAATTGCAAAAAAAAAAAAAAAATAATGATAAAAATCAATTAAAGAATTAACTTGCTAATAATATTAAAATCAATTTAAAAAATAATGAAAGGCACAGTTAAGCCCTCAAACTTTGTTAAAAAATAGGTTTTTAAATTAACATTAAAAAATCATTGTGTAGGCAAAGCGACAGAAAATGAGAAAGTGCATCAACGCCATAGGTCGTTGTACGAAGTTATAAGATATCAACTTAAAAAATGGTGGCGAAGCAAGCCAAATTAATCACCCCTCGCAAAATTGTGTTTCAGCGATAACAGCCAAAACATGTTGGGATGTCAAAATTTTTAAAATCTATTTTGTTGCACTAAAGTAACCTTTATATAGATCTATCGTCCTGCTATGTTGTTATTCTCCCCATTTTAAATGTTAAAACAACATTTTTTTTTACGATTTGGTGATGGTCTTTGTCTAAGAAGTGTCTGAAATTGTAAACATTAAAGGCTGATTTCTCAAATAGTGTTGTATTAACAGTTGTATGTTGAAAATTCTGTTCATAACAAAATGCCAGATTTAATCAATTTTTCAAAACCATTTGATAACTTTTGTTTTTCTCTTCAAACCTGTATTAGTAAAAATAGATTTTTTGGGAGGAGTGACTAGTAAGTCTAATTCTAAATTTACCCCAGATATAATGATTAATATGATAGAAAAACATCACTGGACGTGATTTTTACCATTACACGATGTAAAAATCATGGTAATTTTTTTCAAATACAGTACACACATTTTGATGCTCAAGTTGATAATTTCTATGTTACTTCAATATGAGCAGATTATTTTGAAAATTGATTTTTTTTTTATGTGTTTCTTTTTCAAAATACACTTTTAATTACCTTTTATTCAAATTTGTTACTGTATAAAGCAGAGTTGTGTAATTTATTATTACTTGAAAGCAAAGGGTTCAATAAATGAATTCTTTGATGCACATTTACGTAAAAAGTTAAAATTAATACTTCCTTTGTCATAAAATTGTTAACTTAGCTATTAATTTAGGATTTTGTGAATGCATGCATGCGTGCATATATATACACACACATAACACATACCGGTACATACACAAATAGGCCTATATACGTAGATCAAAATGCCAACACATTTTCAAAGTATTATAGTCAGTGTAATGTAATCCTTGTTTAAATTGAAAGAAACACATTTCTTTTTTTCAGACAGTACATGAATATGGGCTTGAATAGTAAACAGGTTTTAATGGAATTTTAAAAGGTTCAAGTTGTAATAAAATACATTCCAATGTACAAATCCAATGATTGTTATTTTTGTGTGTTTTATTATAAACTTTGCAAGATGCAGAAACACAATCCTGCCAAACAAAAATGTTGGCCTATTAATTGTGGAAAAACAGATTAAACTATCATTACGGTACCTTGGCATTCTCGATGCATGGGCAAATTGCCCAAGCGGCACTAGCCTGTACCTCCGGATTATTATTTTTCAACAGAGACCACAGAAGACGAACTCCATCAAGTCGGTCTATAATCCTGACAATGAAACAGAAATATTTTATAAATAATAAACGTGACAAAGACAAGCCAAACCAGTCACTCGTCACAAATCCCGTTATACAGATAATGGCCAAAACATGCTGGAAATGTCAACATTTTTAAAATCTATTTTATTACACTCAACTAACTTTTATATAGCATGCTATGCTGTTATTTTCCCCATTTTCCAATGTTAAAACAACAATTATTAACAATTTGGTAATAGTTTCTACCTCAAAAATTCCCAAAATCCTAAGCTTTGAAGGTCGATTTCTCAAATATTGTGCTTTAAACAGCTGTATGTTTGAACTTCTCTAACTTCATAAGGAAATGTCAGATTTAAATGATTCGTTTACCATTGTATAGCTCTCATTTTACTGTTTAACACTGTCTTAATAACTAAAAATCAGTGACTGGTTTGGCTGGTAAATTAAATAATTTTGTATTGGCTTTCAACTTACCAACAATAATGTTAAAATCAACACCAACAATGATGTTACAACAAATGACACAAAAAATTATGTCCTAAAATTATAGAAATTATACATATAAAAATGTATTTTTCTTTAAAAAAAAAATTGTTGTAATGCAATTGAATTATAGCCTTGGTTGAATGGTGCATAATAATGTTCAATAAGACAAAATTTTGACACCAGAATTTTTTTTCAGCATTTCCTTACCCCATGTTGTCTTGTTCAGTTGCACATGCTCCAACTGCTTTTGTGACATTAACCAATAGAGCTTGATTCGTGCCGGTCAGAAGATTAACCAAAGACGGAATACCATTGGTTTTACGGATGACCGAACGATTTGATGGCTCCTGAGCTGCACATTCACCAAGCGCACCAACCACATTCACAAGAACCTATGATGAAAACAATGTTAATAATGTTTCATAATACATAAATTTTTTTGTTTCATTTATTCAAGCAAACATGCTCTCTTCTTACAGCGACAGACACACAAATTGATGCAATAAAACAAGAGTAAGAAAAACATTACTGTAACAAAATTAAATACCATCCACAAAACTGAATGTTTCTATCTTTAAATCAGGATTTCAACAAGAGCAATGCAAAAAGTATACAAAATCAGTAATTTAAAGATAAATATTTTATGCAACCTTAGCCAATGATGTACAAAATTGATCAATAATGACGATAATACTGAATTCCTATAATCTAAACTTAAATCATTGTCATTACAAATAGTGAAAGTACTTATTCATTAATTTAATGAGAAACAAAATTATATACCGTTGAAGCTCTTATAAGTTAGACAATTATTATATTTTTCAAAATTTATTTACCAAGAAATAAAACAACTATTTATAATTTTTATTCAATTTTTTAAATAATAGATGTACTATTAAATATATAATTAACGATAGTAAAATCTGCATTTTATACATAACAAAATATGTATAGAAATAATCCTATGTTGGAAATATAACAACATTTATGTTCACTACAATATATTATTTTAGTGAATGATTTATGCGTTCATTTTGAATTGTTTTTTTTTTCATTCAGATATTAGAATGTTCACTCTCCACATTCAAAATATTCATGTGTGATTAATTTTGAAACATAAAATCCAGATAAACCTAAGAATTACACGAGCAAGGCCAAATATTTGTTTCTGAAAGAATTGTTAAAGTGAAAGCAATCAATACAAGATATCTAGATAATATCTGATGCCTCTTTCATACTAAATGAACTAATAGAAAGTATGTTCAATTATTTTGGCACCTGGTGTATTTTAAAAATTGTTAACAGGTACAATTTAATAACAAATATTTATACTTTTTATTCAATTTTTTAAATAATAGATGTACTATTAAATATATAATTAACGATAGTAAAATCTGCATTTTATACATAACAAAATATGTATAAAAATAATCCTATGTTGGAAATTTAACAACATTTATGTTCACTACAAAATATTATTTTAGTGATTGATTTATGCGTTCATTTTGAATTGTTTTTTTCATTTAGATTTCAGAATGTTCACTCTTCACATTCAAATATTCATGTGTGATTAATTTTGGAACATAAAATCCAGATAAACCTAAGAATTACAGGAGCAAGGCCAAATATTTGTTTCTGAAAGAATTATTAAAGTGAAAGCAATAAGTACAAGACATCTAGATAATATCTGATAATATCTGATGCCTCTTTCATACTAAATGAACTAATTAATAGAAAGTATGTTCAATCATTCTGGCACCTGGTGTATTTTAAAAATTGTTAACAGGTACAATTTAATGACTGATTCAGATTGTTTACATACTTGTACTACAAAGTGTTGAGAATGTGCAGTTACAATATGTGTATTGCAATATATACACCAAATAATAAAAAGTAGCACACAGTATTAAAAAACATGAATTGCAGTAAAATGCAGATTTCATAAAAATATTTTATGAACAGCCTGTGCCATTGATATCAAGAAATGAATACAGCATAATAAAAACCTTAAAATATTAAAGCATAATTTTATTTCTACCATGTATGTTGTAGTGTCTTATACGGTAGTACAAAAGCATTTATTAGTATGATCATTATTATATTCACTAAAATAATATTTTGTAGTGAACATAAATGTTGTTAAATTTCCAACATAGGATTATTTGTATACATATTTTGTTATGTAATAAATGCAGTTCTTACTGTTGTTAATTATATATTTAATAGTGCATATTATTATTTTAAAAATTGAATAAAAAGTATAAATAGTTGTTTTATTTCTTGGTAAATAAATTTTGAAAAATATAATAATCGTCTAACTTATAAGAGCTTCAACGGTATATAATTTTGTTTCTCATTAAATTAATGAATAAGTGCTTTCACTATTTGTAATGACAACGATTTAAGTTTAGATTATAGGAATTCAGTATTATCGTCATTATTGATCAATTATGTACATCATTGGCTAAGGTTGCATAAAATATTTATCTTTAAATTACTGATTTTGTATACTTTTCACATTGCTCTGTTGAAATCCTAATTTAAAGATAGAAACATTTAGTTTCATGGATGGTATTTAATTTTGTTATAGTAATGTTTTTCTTACTTTTGTTTTATTGCATCAATTTAGTGGGTTATTCTTACACTACTAGGAATCAAAATATCAAATACTTCAGTTGTTCTTCATGCAAATTCAAATTGTGGAGAGGATAATTTTCATACTAGAGCCACTCATCGTTGGAACAATCTTCACAATTTTGATTCTCTTTCTATTAATAATTTTTAAAAATATGCCTTTATCTGTATTCAGTAATACCTTTCCTTTTGTTTAGTTTCAAATTCTGGTTTTTAAGTATTAGTTTTTCTGCTATCATTTCAGTTCTAGGCTACATTATCATTGTGTTTAATTTAGTTTTTAGTTACTTTAAAAATTCACAATTGTACATATATTTTTTGTTATATTTACTCTATATAGCAGGGCTGCTTTGGAAAGCAGTGCTAGTCACTGAATGGATACCCACTGGTTAAAGAAAGCTTAAATAAATAAATAAAATAACAATCTAACATTCCTGTCAACTTATATTAGTATGCTTAAATCAAGGGCTTACCAATGAGTAAAGAAACATTTTATACGTCTATTCAAAATAAAAATAACATAATAAATTAAAAAGTCTTTGCATTAAAAAAAAAAGATGTTACCTCTTCAGGTTGGTCGTTGAGCAATGCTACCAGCATCTCAATTGCCTTAAGTTCCTGGAAGCGTTCCACGTTCTCTGGACTCATGGCACACTTCCAGATGGCTCCGGTGCCAGCCGCTAACAGTTCCTTGTTATCAGAGTTGCTGAGCAGGCTGACTAGAGGATCCAGTCCACCATGATATCTCACCAGATCTCTGGTTTCCTTCTCTTCAGCACATTTGAATATGGCGCTGGCACAGTGCATCTGTAGCTCCTGGTTCTCTGTGTTGAGGTTCTTGACCAAGTCCTCTATCATACCCTCTGTTCGAATAGCAAGTCTGTAACTTTGCTGAGAAACAAAAAAATAATAATGATCAATAATAACATTGATTATCGATAAAAGTAATAATAACAATAAATAATAATAATCATTATCAAATAATATCAAAATAAAAAATAATATTCAAAGTACAAATAGAAAGAGGCAACATCAATAATAATAGCAAATATAATGAACTTAATAACAATAGTAATGTTAATAAAAAAAATATAAAATATAAAAAAATAACATTAATTCATACATTATTAGCTGCACATAGTTATAATACATGGCTATAACAATTGACAATAGGACATTATCTTCGACAACTATACAGACAACTAGTCTCCATGCAGGCGAAGCCTAGTTCAGCCTCTTTAAAAGACGTGTTGTATGGTAATTATTTGGACATTTTTTTATAGTCTTACCTCAGATGCACATTCTTGTAAGCTCCCTACCACTGGTATCAGCATGTCCTCGTGAGGTGACTTGAGAAGCCGTGCAAGGAGGGGAATTCCCCCTGCCTTTCGAATTGCTAACTTGTTACGAGTGCTCTTGCTGCAACTCCACAGAGCCAAAGCCCCACAACGAGCAACTTCAACATCCTTCTCAAATTCATCCGTCATTGGCATAGATCCAAGGGGCGCACAATCAAGTAAAGTCACCTGAAATCATTAAAAAATTTTATTTATTGAATATTTTGTAAAAAGGACCTACAGTAGCATAGCATTTTCACAAAATATATTTTGTCCTGAATTTACTGGATGCATAATAAACCAAAAGTTGGGTCTTGGTGTTGTGTTCCTGACTGGAAAGGTGAAGGAAGGGATAATCCCCTAGATTTTAGATTTGTCTAGTTTTAATTACATTAGTTTTTTTCTTTTCCTTGGACGCACCATTACATACGTGTACCACTGTTGTAAATGTGTCGTTTTCAAATAAAAAATATATCTGTGGGTGGATGAAGAATGATGGAAAAATGTACAGCACCTCCTCCCTAGCAGTGTGGCCAGCACGGACTGAATCAACTAATCTTTAAGACTATTAGAATAACACTATACAACATCTAGGGTACCTGTC